CGGTTTAAAAAAAAAAAAAGTGATTGGGTTCAGACTATAACAAGTTAAAAGAACATAAAAATGAAGATGAGTACAGAAATCATTTACTAGGGATGGATCGAAAGGCCCAATCTTGATTACTGACTTGAGGAAAAAAATCATGAGCATACCTAAGAAAACGCGGGGCCTAAAAAAAAAAAGGCGCCATAAATTGAAAAGCCGCGGCCCGGAGTACGACGGACTACCGAGTCCTCCTTCGCCTCAACTCTCGGGCAATCCCACTTTCCGGTTCACGCCCCCAGTGAAGAATTATAAATACCTCCACTTTGAGACCTGGATATATCCTCCGAGGGGCCGGGGGCCCCCGCCACCGCCCCGTGCTGAACGTCACAAAATGGCGGCAGCGTCTCTTTGTCTCAATCTGGCGCCGCCATTGGGCCTAGCCCCACTTCGGTCCCGTTAAGGCCCATTTCCCACCTCATTCCTTTAGTCGCTGGTCACTTACCGAGATCTCGGGTTAGAAACGCGTAGGCTCAAATCCACACACCTTCGGCTGGGTCTTCCTGGTCCCCTCGCGCCTGGCACACAGAGATGCTCTCCCGCGCCCGTCGTCCACGAAATGGCGGCTCACCGCCGTCTCCTCGCCCTTATTTATAGGCCATGCTGGAGTCACATGACTGGACGGGCTCACCCAATGAGGGGCGGAGGAGGCTGTGACGTAATGGCTACAAACTCAGCGAGAACAGCGGTTGCTGGGAGCGCGCTCTGGTTGTACCGCCTTGTCTGTGGAGGCTAGCCCCGTCAGGCTCAGGTTGTCTCAGGCCCGGAGCTCCCTCGGGTGTAATTCCCCAGTTGCTGACCTCTGAGTTATTCTCAGTCCCCTGTCCCTCACATCCAAATAGGCTGGGGTTTAATGACACCTCCGCCGTCACTCCCAAACACTGATAGAGCGTTTTGCTCCTAATAAGTTTAAAGTATTAGATGAATTCACTGATTACTTCATCCTCGTGAGCGGTGAGGCTGGAACTAAGACCGTCAGGTTTACAAACGTGCTTCGGAATTGCTCCCAAGGTCAAGGAGCTGTTTGTGAGCGAGCTGCCACCAGATTGTGCCGAGCGGGGTCCCACACTTGGGGAAAAGCCCAAACCTGGAAAGTCCGCCGAACTCTCACTGGTTTCCCACCCCTCACCCAAACTGCAGGATTTGGCGGAGACGATGGGGCATCATCCTGGACTCTTGAAATGTTTAATAGAAACGCAAACGCAAATGAGACCGGTCAGGCCATGCGGAAACTGTCACCTTTAGCAAGTAGAAGTACAAGGAAGTTCCTGAAGAAGATTGAATTTAAATTCAGCCCCCCACCCCCGCACCGGGGGCAGGGGTGGGGTCCATGGGTCCCTCACACCTTCCTCTGTTTCCCACTTCACCTAAAAAAAAACGAGCCACAAGATTAACTATTGGGAGAGAAATACCGCGATGGTGTCAGAAAAATCACCAACATCTCCTTCGCCGGAACAGTGAGTTCAGTTTTGCTGGTGTTCCCTACCCTCTTTCAGTAAAGTCTGACTTATTGCTAAAACTTATTTAAATCTGCTCTCAAGAGAAACGATAACTTGTATTTTTCCACCATTAGCTGAAAGATATACCAATTATTTACTTGTTTTGTTTCTCCCAGATATTCTCTTATTGTTCCTGTAAAAGATTTATCCATAGTGGGGGAAAAATACAAAGATTTAATGCCTCTGAGCCTTAGTTTTCACCTGTAAAATGGGGATTTCATACTCCCAAGGAAAGAGGGGGAATGGGAACTGCAGTTGTTGAGCCAGGCCCTGAGCTGGGCTTACCCTGGGGTGTTTCCCAGGTAAGGGATTCTAGCAAAACCTTTCTGTTTCTCTTCTTTTCTTTCCTTCTGTAATTGTTTTCTCTTCTGGCTCACTTATATTTGCTTTGATTTGCTCCCCTCCTGCTCTGTAAGTTTTTCTCTTTTTATTTCCTTCTATCAAAGCGAAGCCTTTTTGAAGTCAGACAGTCCTAGATTTGGACCACAGCACTGCTGCTACTTACTGCTAAAGTGTCTGGAGAAGAGTCCCTTACCCTCTCTCAAGATTACTTACTTCTCTGTAAAATGGGATAATTACATCAATGCAGGGTTGTTATGTGCTGTCTACCCTCACAGGAACTTCAACTTTGGTCTATTGCGGTCACACCTGCATCCCCAGGGCCTGGAAACAAGCCTGACACACAGTAGGTGATAAAAACTTATTTGTTTAATTATTTAATTAATTAAAAGAAATTATGTATGTAAATAAGCTGGCACAATATTTGCTCAAAAAAATGCTGTGTTCTTTTCACATCTCATTCTTTAGTATCCCATTCTTTCCCACCATTTTTCCTGTTTTTGTTGTTGTTGTTTGTGCATATAATGCTAGTCTAGCATGCATCTTTCAATGGAGCACTCTTTTTTTTTAACTTATTATATTTTATTTTTGGCTGTGTTGCATCTTTGTTGCTGTATGCGGGCTTTCTCTAGTTGAAGCGAGCAGAGGCTAGTCTTTGTTGCTGTGCGCGGGCTTCGCATTGTGGTGGCTTCTCTTGTTGCAGAGCACGGGCTCTAGGCTCTTGGGCTTCGGTAGTTGCAGCGTGTGGGCTCAGTAGTTGTGGCACACGGGCTCAGTAGTTGTGGCTCTTGGGCTCTAGGGCACAGGCTCAGTAGTCGTGGTGCACGGGCTTAGTTGCTCTACGGCATGTGGGATCTTCCCAGACCAGGGATCGAACCCTGCATTGGCAGGCGGCTTCTTAACCACTGTGCCACCAGGGCAGTCCTCTTAATCCCTCCAACTGTATTCTCAAATACGTTTTGAGCCTCCTCTGGCCATCCACACACATCTTCTATCTTCTAGTAACTGCAGCCAAGTGAATTATCCATTTAAATTATGGAATATTTTAATGTTCCTTTAAATTTATTCGACCACCAACCGCT